TGATCAAGTAGATAAATGATGTTTTAGTTACTGTTCTATAGCTGTGGTGGTCAAGGCACTTACAGAAGTAAGAGTTGATGTGGGGATTATGGCTTCAGAGCATGAGTCCACGGTTGTCATGAGGTGGTCCCAGCAGCAGGCAGGCAGGTACTGTGTTGGAGGAAGAGCTGTGAGCTCTCATCCTAAGACAACAGTGCTAAGGCAGACAGAGTGACACCAGCAACTTTCGAAATAGCACAGTCTGTCCCCATCACGGCTTTCAAAACCAAGGCAAACCTTCCAGACAGTTTCACTAACTTGGAACCGAGCACTGAAACATATGAGCCTATGGGGATAGCTCCCATGCAAACCCCCACATTCCATTCCCTGGTCTCCATAGGCTTGTGGCCAAATCATAATGCAAAATACATTTAGTCCAACTTCAGCCAGTCTCAGCCAGTTTAAAAAACTGAGACTTAAGGCAATCTCTTGTAACCCCAATAAAATCAAAATCAAAAAGTAAATTACACATTTCCAACTTACAATGGCACAGAATATACATTGCCATTCCAAAAGGACGAATGGGTAAATAGTGATGAAATACTGGACCAAAACAAGATCAAAACCCAGTAGGGCAAACTCCAAGTCCTGTAGCTCCGTATCTGATGTTAAAGGGTTTAGATGGCTTTACCCTTCCAGTGTTTCTGAGTATAAGACACTCCTCTCTCTTGGATTATGTGTGCTCCTTGCATTCAGTTCTCTTTCGCAAGTAACCCCAGCTCTGGCTGTCCCACATACTCCAGGCTTCACCTGCACAGCTCTGCACAGTGGTATCTCAGGGCCTCCATGCAGGGCCTCCCCCTGCCATGCTCGGCCTCAGCAGCCTTCTTTAACCAGAGGCAGAGTTCTCACCTCTCCACTCCTCCATCCTTCAGGATGCTAAAGTCAGAACCACATGGGCGGGACTGCCAAGTTCGACTACCATCTTGGGGTGAACCCTGGCACCCTTGAATCTCATCTGAAGAAGCTTTAGATTTGTTGCTTATTATGAACAGACAATTCCTCAGGCCTCCCTTTTATAAGCTGGAAGCTTAGCTGAGTGGGGTCTTGCCATGAGGACATCTTTTCCTTTATTCCATCAGGGTTAGGTCTTTCTTTAATCAGTTATCACTTTCAGCACAAGCCCTGGCTCCAACATTAAATTTCCTTGTGTTCCTTTTCTCTTAACTGTAAAGTTTGTATTTTGTTTGTATCATCTTGCTCTTTTTCATCAGATACTTGAGTAAGAGTGAATTTTAGTAACTATATAATGGAATCAATACTAGGCCATCTTGAAATATCCTTAGCTAAAAAAAAATTAGTTCAAGCCGGGTGTTGGTGGCGCACGCCTTTAATCCCAGCACTCGGGAGGCAGAGGCAGGCGGATCTCTGTGAGTTCGAGACCAGCCTGGACTACCAAGCGAGTTCCAGGACAGCCTCCAAAGCCACAGAGAAACCCTGTCTCGAAAAAAACCAAAAAAAGGGGCTGGAGAGATGGCTCAGAGGTTAAGAGCACTAACTGCTCTTCCAGGGGTCCTGAGTTCAATTCCCAGCAACCACATGATGGCTCATAACCATCTATAACGAGACCTGGCGCCCTCTTCTGACATGCAGGCAGAACAGTGTATATATAATAAATAAATCTTAAAAAAAAAACCAAAAAAAAAAATTAGTTCATTACTTTTCAATTTAGCCTCAAGCAGACTCTTTGGCCAAGGGAAGAAAGCAGTCACATTCTTTGTCAACATATTGAAAGAATGGTCTCTAACTCCTTGCTAAAACTATTCCCCTCTGAAACCTCCTAAGGTGGGCTTCCACGTTCCACATTCCTTTAAGCACTACTGTCTTCCAGGCTCCTGCTGGGATGGCCTGCCAAGCCCACTTACGGTGTTCAAGCATTTTCCTAGCCCAAAGTCCCGAAGTCTTCCACTTCCTCTGAAAAACGGCACAGCTAGCTCTGTCACAGCAATATCCGAATCTTGGTATCAACTTTTGAGTTACTTTTCTATTGGTCTGATTAATAGCCATGGCCAAGGCTATTCATAGGCGCAAGAGTTTATTTGGGGCTTACAATTTCAGAGGGTGAGTCCATGACCATCATCGTGGAGATGAGCATGGTAGCAGGCAGGCATGGTGCTGGAATAGCCGAGTTCACATCTTGAGACACAACCATGAGGCAGAGAAAGCAACAGTGGGGATGGGTGGGATTTTGAAAAGCCTACATCCAGTGACATGGCAGCTCCAACATGGCCACACCTCTGAATCCTTCCCAAGTAGTTCCATCAACTAGGAACCAACTATTCAAACACATGAACCTATGGGGCAATTCTTTATTCCACAAATAATATATTTAAAACTTATAGACAACAATGCCAGTGTTTAATTCATGAAAGGTGCTACACTCAGTAGAAAGTAAAATTACATAATTTGTCTAATGATTAATTGAGTTATGGTACTGAAGATGATTTTTCTTAATTACTATGAATTTATATTATACAATGTAGCATATAATTATATTTCATTAAAAATATATTCAAAGAGTCTGGAGAGATGGCTCAGTGGCTAAGAGGACCTCAAATCAGTTCCTAGCATCCATGTCAAGGAACTAATAGCTGTTTGGAACTCCTCATAACTCCAGAATCAGGAGATCCAATACCTCTGGCTTCAGAGGGTACTCATATACACATGTACATTATTCATACACATACACATAAAAATAACACATCTTAAAAAGTATATGTACACACATACACACACACACACACACACACACACACTTAGAGCTAGATGTGACGATGCATGGCTGTATTCTCAGCCTTTTCTTTTTTTGGTTTTTTGAGACAGGGTTTCTCTGTATTGTTTTGGAGCCTGTCCTGTAACTTGCTCGGTAGACCAGACTGTTCTCGAACTAACAAAGATCCGCCTGCCTCTGCCTCCTGAAGGCAGAAGTTCAAGGAGTTCAAGGTCATATCAGTCTCAGCTATATATTAAGTTGGAGGCCAGCCTGGGATACATGAGACTGTGTTTCAAAAAACAAAACAGAACACCAGTAACAATAATATATATCCACATATGTACTTTGAAGAAGTTATTATATAATCTCATACTCTCTCTCTCTCTCTCTCTCTCTCCCTCTCTCTCTCACACACACACACACACACACACACACACACACACACAGAGTTCCAAAGCCTTCCACATTCCTCTGAAACCAGCATGTCTGGTCTTTCGCAGCAATATCCTACTCCTAGTACTGATTTTATTTAGGACACAAACACACTTTGCAAAGAGTAAGTAATTTTTTTTTTGAGACATGGTTTTTCTACATAGCCCTGACTGTCCTGGAGCTTACTATATAGACCAGGATGGCCTAGAGTTCAGAGATCCATCTGCCTTTGACTCCTGAGTGCTGGGATAGAGAGATAAGTAATTTTAACTCTTATTATTGCAGAATCCTTCCCTGTCTGTATTTTGCAAAGCATAAAAGTATTTAAAGTATCCCTGCTGGGTGATGGTAGTACACACCTTTAATCCCAGCACTTGGGAGGTAGAGGCAGGTGGATCTTTGTGAGTTAGAGGTCAGCCTGGTCTAGAGTGAGTTCCAGGACAGCCAGGAGCTCTACAAAGAGAAACCCTGCCTTGAAAAAAACAAAAGAACAAACAGAGATCATTTTAGAAAACCAGATTATTCCCAGAAATAGATCTATTTATTTAGAAATCAAGACAATAAAAGAAATTTTATGTGGTAACCTGTACTGTATTAGTCAATACAGGTATTATAATGTAGGAAAATGAGTGTTAGTGTTTATTCTGTACTTTGCCTTGGTCTTAGAAAAAGTAGGGGCCAAATGCTGTCGTTTAGTGAGAACAGGAGCTAAAACAGCACATTTCATTATCACCTGATCTGGCATATTGTTCTCATCTATTCCAAATTAAGTTCTAGGATGTTGAGAGCTCACCTTGTGACAAGTGAGTGCTATATTAGGCTCAGAGAAACTGTGAGTTCTTTTTTTTTTTTTTTCACTTTACTCTGAAGTCTGCAGGGGAGACAGATTGCTTCAACAGATGCTCTCATTCAAGGAGAGGCTGGAGAAATCCATCCTCTCCTCCATCCACCCAAGTGAATTCATAATACACCATTAATCTCAGCCTTGGAAAGAAGAGGTAGGTGGATTTCTTTAAGTTGGAGTTGGAGGCCATTCTGATTTACATAGCAAGTCCTAGGCCAGCCAGGGCTAAACAGTTTTGGTAACAATGGTGGCACTGCTGTTAAAACCACAGAAATGGCACAACTTCTATAAATAAGTACCAAATTTACAGCTTTTTTCTTGCAGTACTGGAAGACTGAATTCAGGGCCTTGGACAATAGGCATATACTCTACAGTTGAGCTAACTAACCCCTGATGCTTAAATTACATTTTTTAAACTTAGTCTTAAAAATTATTATGTATAGTGTGTGTGGGGGGATGGGGGTGGGGGTGGGAGTAGCTTGTGATACCTCTCAACCCAATTAAATATCCTAGAGCTCAAAGTGTCCCCTCCTCCTGGCAGAGGCCCAGGCAGCTCAAGTTGACCTTGAGCAACCTCTACAACACTGGGATCACAAGCTACATGCTCAGCTATATGTTCCATGTTGTGTAGTTCTGGAGATTAAACTGAGGCTCTCTGCATGCTAGGCAAGTAACCTACTGACCTGTACCCCAGCCTGGAAAGTGTTCTCAGGTGGCATATGACATCAGTCTATATTCTGCAAACAGTGAAGCAAAAAGTTATCTTTAGCATACTTTTCAGATACTATGTTCTGGGTATTTTTTCTTTTTGTTGAGACTGTATAGCCTTGGCTGGCTGGAGCTCACTACAATCTAGGCTGGCTTCAAACTCATTGTAATCTATCTGCCTGTGGCTCCTGAATGCTGAAATTAAAGTTGTGTGCTACCATACCTGACAGGGCTCTTCTTTTTTAGATAAAAACTCACAAACAATTTAAAATGGTAGAATTTATTTTAATATAATGATATACATATGCACATGTACTATTTTAAAAATAAGCATGGAGATGATAATAATTATAAAACATAAATCAGCCCTAATTTAATATTATCCGAATAGAAGAGCAGGTAGAGAAGTCTGTCTCACATTGTTGCACTTACATTTTACAGACAGAACAGACACTTAGTGAAGAGTCATTTACCCCTTTTCAGTTTCATGTTATCATGAATGCCCCTCTTAACACTTACATTCAAGTCATCAAAATCTCTTAAGTTATTAACATACTATTATGTCACTAAACTGAGTAATCTAAAAATACCAGCCTAAATTAAAACCCTGAGGAATTAAAATCTTTTACACAATAGTTTTGGTTAAGTGCAATTCATGTTTTTAAGGACTACTTAATTTAAGGTCATACTTGGTAAGGCAGAGTAAAAATAAGATCTACAACAGTAACAATCTAAACTATCTTTAGTTTCTTGCTACAAAGTTGCTTTGTTTCCCTAAAAAGTAGTTTTGCACATCACTGGACCTCTTCACCGCCTGCTGGCTTATCAGCTTGACACTCAGTAGTTAAAATTTGTGCACTAAACTCAAGTGCTAACAGTGGTGGTTCAGACTTAATGCAGCCAAGGAGCTACATGGTGGAGAGTTCATGTCCATGCTCGATCATGGCTTGCACAAATTGCTTGAAGACTCGATCCATGTAAGTGCATTGCCTGGGCCAGATTCCTTCCAGAAAACCAATATGGCCGCCGTAAGAAGTAAGGACCAAAGCCACATTAGGGTTTTGCTTAGCAGTTTCTATTGGGATAGCTTGAGGAATCGAAGCAGTAAGGTATGTGTGTGGATACGGGGGTGGGGGTGGGGGCGGGGTGGGTGTAAAGAAGTGGGAGAGAAAGAGAAAGACAGCGATTATTAACATTTCTCATTTCTAATTAGTAAAAACATCATTAAACAAATACTTGTCATGAGTGTGGTTAAATGGAATGAGTCCAACTAATTTATACCAGTCACCTATACTCTTATAATAAACCATACTTCTAGTCTTGTACTAGATGTTATTTTTAAAAGAATCAATCCAAGATTTTATATCACCTAAAAATATAGGCTGTGTTTTGGCTGTGAGATGGGCTTGTGCCCTGCCTGATAACCCGGAGCTTGATCTCTGGGACCCACATGGCGTAGAGATAGACCTGACTCAGACTCCCACACAGGTGCTGCAGCACTCACAGGAGTGCATGGATGCTTGTGCACAAACCCATACAGAAAGGCCAGATAAAATAAAATAAAATAAAATAAAAATACAGGCTGATTCTTGTTTTGAGAAATCAAAACCAAGCAAAGCTTTGTGAGAGTTTGCAAATTCATTCTGTATAATTTTGATTATATGCAAATTTATATTTCTAAGCATGATTGATAACTGTACAAAGGTCTTAAAGCCCCAAATGTGATATATATATTAAATGATAGCAAAAACAAAAATAAAATTATGGCCAATAATAATGAATGTCTACCTTCTGTTGCTGAGACATCTAAAAGGGTAATTATCTTTTTCTATCTTTCTGACTTTCTCTTTACACTCAGCAGAAAAGAAGCTTTATTGGAAAATAGGGCTCTGAAGCGAAACAGAAATAATTCACAAGTAACAGCAGTGTTTGTATGCCCTCTATCACATCACCTCTGAGCGGAAACTTCAAGGGCAGGAACGAAAGTTGTTTTCTTTTTTCTCCTAGGCCTTAGAGCACAGACAGTGTGGGAAAGTGTGTGTGTGCTCGTGCAAGGACACGGCACATGCCCCAAAGACTAACTGGGACCTTGTGAACGGGACCTAAGCTCTGCAGCTGGTTCCACCCCTGCACTCTCAGCTGTGTCTAACCCTGATTGTTAGCTAACAGTGTTATCAGAACAAAGGCTCTGCCATAGTACAGTCTGTGAACGATGTGGGCGGCCTGTTCCCTGAGGCTGCAGACAATTGTCCACTATATGCTAAGACTGTTTTAAGGGCCTGGGAAAAAACAGGAAATAATGAGTTCAAACTTCACCTTGTGGGTCAGGCTAAATGGATGGATAAGCATCAGATCTTACCCAGTGAAATTAAGGGAAGCAACCACAGGGTAGATGCTAAAGCCACTTTCATTTTCTCATCTATAACCAAAGGCCCAAAGTGCCAGCCATTGAAATGATGGGTGATTCAAAATATCTGTGTGTGTTCAAGTGTTCTAAAATGTCACCGTGCATGCATTAGGTTTGGGATCTGGGTAATTATGCTGTTTAGTGGTGACTGAGCCCAGGGTCTCAAATGTGCCAGGCAAGTATCCTACTACTGAGCTCCAGCCCAACCCCCAAAGAAATGTTTTCTTTCTTTTTTGTTTTTTTCCTGTGTGGCTTTGGAGGCTGTCCTAGAACTAGCTCTTGTTGTAGACCAGGCTGGTCTTGAACTCATAGAGATCCACCTGCCTCTGCCTCCCAAGTGCTGGGACTAAAAGTGTGCGCCACCACTGCCCAGCTAAATGTTTTAAATCAAGTATTTGGAGAAAATGTTTAAAAGGTTTTTGTTTTTGTTTTTCTTTTGAGGGACTGGAGAGGTGACTCAGTGGTTAAGAGCACTGGATGATTTTCTAGAGGACTCTCATTTGATCCCCAGCTCCCGTATGGCAGCTCACAACCGTCTGTAACTCTGCTTCCAGGAGCTATGATTCCCTCTTCTGTCCTGTGGCACCACGCTAAGATACACATGCAAGAAAAACACCCAAACACATTAAAGGTTAAAAATAGACTTAGAAAGATTTTGTTGTTGTTGTTGTTCAGGCATGGTGGCTCCTACCTGACATACCAGAACATGGGAGGTGGAAACAGGCGGATCAATGGTCCAGGAAAGCCTGGGCTGTAAAATGACATCCCGTGTTGACAATGACAGAACAGTAACCATCCTTCAAACTTCACACAACAGCGAGAGGAGAGGTCAAGCCTTCTGATACTGAATTTGCAGATTACTTTCAATAAACAAACACATGCTTATCGCTGTTCTGTTTTTGAAATCAGGAAGTTTCTTTTTAATCGATTTTTATTATTTTAAGTTCTGCATGGGTAGGACAGGGTATGTGTACATGAGTGAAGTGCCTGTGGGGCCAGAAGGTGGCACTAGAGCTGGGGTTACAGGCGGTTTCAAGTTGCCTGATGTAGGTGCTGGGAACTGAACCTAGGTCCTTGGCAAGAGCAATACAACCTCCTAACCAATGAGCCATCTCTCCTGCCCAACTGCTATTCTTGAATTAAGAGAGTATGAAAGTTAATTTTGGAATAATTTTCTTTCTCACTATATCTAGGAGAAAAAAAAAACTAGGCTGTTTTCATTTAGAAATAAACTTTAAGCCCAAATTTGTTTCTAGCATCAAAATACTCAAGGACATTGTGTTTCTAAAGTCTCAAGTCCTCTTCTAGGTTAGGGAAGAAGAAAAACTTCTTTTATTTTGGAATTCCAGGAAAAAGAGGCAAACAATGCCGGTGTTCTCTCCAGGCAAAGATGCTGGAGCATAATCTGTTCAAAGAACCTGTGCCTGAGAGTAAAGAAAGGGACACAAGACCACATGAGAACATTGAAAACACTGGTCCTGCGGTCTGAACCCTTTGACACTGTTTATCTTACTTACTTATTTACTTACTTATGTATTTAGAGACAGGGTTTCTCTGTGTAACAGTCCTAGCTGTCCTGGAACTTGCTGTGTAGACCAGGCTGGCCTTGAACTCACAGAGATCCGCCTGCCTCTGCCTGCTGAGTGCTGGGATTAAAGGCGTGCACCACCATTGCTCGGCTTTTGTTTGCTTGTTTTTATGTTTTGAGTAAAGTCTTCCTGGCTCAGGCTGCTCTTCAACTTATTAAAGTTCAGGCTGGCCTTAGGCTCTTCTTCTTGGCTCTAGGCATGTAGTTTCATGCCAGGCACCATTTTAATTAAAAAATTGCAATAGATACTATATTACTATTATATTTTTACCATCACATTTCCTTAAAAAGAGAAAATTTAAAAGTTAAACCAGGAACTGGGGAGATGGCTCAGCAGTTGTGGCTCTCTCAGAGGATACAGGTTCAGTTTCCAGCACCAATGTCTGGTAGCTCCCCAGCTCCTGGTTTAACCAACACACACATGGCTTGTACTCACACAGACATACACAGAAATAAAACTAAACGGTAATTCTTTGAGAAAAAAGTTAGTTCACATCAAAGTGTGTGGGCAGATGGTGTCTTACCATGGCTGGGTGAGAACACGTCATCCACAGCATTTAGGCACAGCACTGGGATCCCCACTGACTTCAGCCTGCGGTTTGGACTGGCATCGGTGTAATAATCATCAATTGTGCGGTATCCAAACATGACTGAGGTGAATCGTTTATCGAACTCTCTAATAGACTTAGCCTGGAAAGCAAATTCAGACTTACTCTACTCTTGGAGTCACAGGAGGAAATAAGAACATTAGGCGAAGCTACCCATTACCTTCATGACCTGGTCCATGTCAATCTCTTTGACAAACATGTGCTGATGCCTGGAACAGAAGAAATTTCAAACTGAAAATTAAGATCACCTCTACCTCAGTCACACCTGAAACACATAAGAACATGTAGTTAAACAGCCTAGCACAGGGCATGAAGCTGGCACTAAAATAATATTTGCTGGGCCAGTGAGGGGGTATAGGCACATGCTGTTAAGCCCGATGACTGAATTCAATTCCGGACCCACAGGGTAGAAAGAGAATTTCCTCACACAGATGGCTCTCTGGCCTACACAGCATACTGCCCACACAAAGTTAATGAAAGCATAATGAAGATATTTTAAGTTTGCTTTACTCGAGTGTGCCTGTCTTGCATACCTTGGTATACATGTTGAGGCTACAGGACAGCTTTGGGGAGGTCCCCATTTCCCCTAAGGCTAGCCCCACCTCTGCCTCCCATCCTCCCATGAGGGTTGGGTTACAGACTCACACCAACAACCACATCTGACTCCACATGGGTTCTGGGGATGGAAACTCTACTCCTTATGCTTTCATGATTTATCCACCCAGTCATCTCCCAGTGCAAGAAATTGCTTCTTCATTATGCCAGCAAAATTAACACCTTTGTAGGCTTATATTTTAAAAGTTGGTCACTTTTTCTTTTCTTGGTCTTCTTCTTCTTCTTCTTCTTCTTCTTCTTCTTCTTCTTCTTCTTCTTCTTCTTCTTCTTCTTCTTCTACTCCTCCTCCTCCTCCTCCTCCTTTTTTTTTTTTTTTTTGAGGCAAGGTTTCTCTGAGTAGACCTAGGTGACCTAGCTGTCCTGAAACTTGCTCTGTAGGCCAGGCTGGCCTTGAAAGGTGTGCACCTCCGCACCTGACCCTGGTCACTTTTCTTTTGTAATCAATATGTATCCATCTTTTGGCAGTGATAGGGACTGACCTAAGCACACGGCCCAAGATTCAACTTTAGGCCCTCAAGTAATACTTTAGTCCAAATGACCCTCATTTTTCTCGCTACTGTCCCCACGCCAATGACCATGCCAGTGATAATTAGTAACCACTGCTATAATAAACAATGCCATGATGACTCTGTAGTATTTTAGCAATATGTATAATCAACATTTGTAACTAAACAAGCAGGTAAATTTAACCCAGTGTTAGATATCAACTTTCAGGAGGACAGCTTTCATTAAGTCACGTTTATATTTAGCAATTCATTTAAAAATGCATGGTAGGGTTGGGGTGGGAGCTATAGTGGTTGGGTATGTGCCCAGCATGCTTTAGGTCCTGGGTTCAATACCCAGCACCTAACAAATAGTAATGGCTATTAAAGGAAAACACCAGAAACATCTTGATGTTTTCTGCTTCTATGCTGGTTTTACTGTTATAAGATACACAATTCCAGAAAAACTGATGCGAAGACATTAGTTTGATGACACAAGAATCACGAGCTATGCATATGAAAATGAACTGCATTCTATTTCTTTCTTGTTTTGAATACATTTCCTTAATATTTAAAAAAATCATTTGTGTTCACGTGTGTATGTCACAGTGTGTGTGCGTAGGTCAGAGGTCCTTATTTGGGTCACAGGGGTTGTCAGGCTTGGTGGCAGTTGCCATTGCCCACTGAGCCATCTTTATTTTTTAATTTTTAAATTTAAATTAGAAACAAGGTTGCTTCACATGCCAATCCCAGCTCCTTCTCACTCTCCCTCCTCCTACACCCTCCCACCAACCCCCTTCCTCCCCTTCCCCAACCTCCAGTCCTTTCCCCAGGAAGGGTGAGGCCCTCCATGGAGGATCTCCAGAGTCTGTCATTTCATCCAGGGCAGGACCTAGGCCCTCCTCCAAGAGTCTAGGCTGAGAGAGCATCCCTCATTGTGGGATGGGCACCCAAAGTCCGTTTGTATGCCAGGGATAAATACTGATCTACTACCCAAGGCCCCATAGAATGCCTAGGTCTTCTCACTGACACCCACATTCAGGGGATCTGCATCAGTCCCATGCTGGATTCCCAGGCTGATGCCTGGGATTCAAGAGTTAACCTTTGTCAGGTCAGCTGTTTCTGTGGGTTAAACAAGCCCAGTCTTGACCCCTATGCTCAGCAGTCCTCCCTCTCTATCACTGGGTTCCTTGAGTTTAGTTCAACCCACTGAGCCATTTTGCTGGCTCACATTCTCCCATTTTAGGACACACCATGCTTAGGGAGCTATGTTACTCAACATGGGACACTCTTTCCGTTGTTGAGACAGGGTCTCTCTATGTAGCTTAAGCTGTCCTGGAGCTCACTATTTAGACCAGGCTGGCCTTGAACTCACAGGGATCTGCTGGCCTCTACCTTCTGCGTGCTGAGATCAAGGGGGTGTACCACCACATATACAGCATATTTTTTTTTTCTTGAGACAAGGTTTCTCTGTGTTCTGGTTGTCCTGGAAATCGCTCTGTAGCCTAGGCTGGCCTGAAACTCATAGAAATCCACCTGCCTCTGCCTCTGCCTCCCGGGTGGTGGGACTAAAGACAGGCACCATCACCACCTGGCAACATAGGGCATTCTTCACACATTACCTGAGAAAGAATTAGGTTTGGAAAAGACTAACAAGCAGGATCTAAGGAAACAGCCCAAACATATCACCAAACACACTCTACACTAATGCCAGAGTTTTCAGAATAATTTGGAAGAGCAACCTTCAAAGCATGGGGCACAGGCACAGAAAGAATGCTTTATGCCTTCTTTTGGGGGGAGGGCTTTGAGACAGGGTTTCTCTGTGTAACAGCACTGGCTGTCCTGGAACTCATTTTGTAGACCAGGCTGGCCTCGAACTCACAGGGATCTGCCTGCCTCTGCCTCCTCAGTGCTGGGATTAAAGGCGTGTGCCACCCCCATCCAGCTGCATTATGACTTTCATCTATATTTTTAACTTACTATTTTGATGTATTCATAATGTAGAGAATATTTTAGTATAGTAATAGATACACTGTATAAATATACATATACCAGTAGTGTCATATTCTGAAATTTCATACTGCTGGGTCATGGAATCTAAAATGTTTGGTAACTAAAGGTTCTAAATGTGCTTTACCTCTTAACTGAAGACTGGAGGCAAGTTGTCAGGTAGTAATTAAACAGCAGCCAGTTCAGGGGTTTCTCCAGTGACTCGGTACATGCGAAAGTATTCCAGCCAACTGAAAATGTCGCAGCTGCCATCAAAGGAGTCTTCGACCCAGTTTTGCCCAAGTAATTTAGAAGCAGCATTCTAAAATAGGGGGAAACAGGAAGACTGTGGCTGATTACATCTCTTAAGAGTCCATTTCTAACTGAGCACGCCACAAGAGCAAGGCAGGAACCAGGAGTGACCAATGTTTAGTCTGTCTGTCTTTTTTTTTTTTAAGGTTGGATCTCAGGCAGCCCAGCCCAGGCTGATCTTGAACACTCACCTCTGTAGTCTTGAACACTTGCCCTTCCTATCTTAGCTTCCCAAGAGCTGAGTCTGTACCATCACCCATGACTACTGTTTAAGTCCTGCATATTGGAAAGGCTGCCTCTGTTCTTTCCTCATGTTCACATTGTCTAGAGTTTTTACATGCACTATTTATTTGTGAATGTGCACACAGCGCGGTGTATGGAGGGCAGAGACAACCTGCCAGAGTAGTTCTCACCTTTCCCCATGTGGTGGGGGATGGGGGCGCAAACTCAGGTCATCAGGCTTGGTGGCAGGCACCTTTATCACCGAGACATTTCATCTGCCCATGCAGCACAATAAATAAAAGACCCAGAGACTGATATTGAGGTTCAAGCTTCAAGCTGAAGATCAGAGAGGCAAAGCAGTCAAGCCGGTAGATCTAACCTCTACCCAGCTGAAACGGCAATCCTGTCTCTACAAATCCTCAGGGGCAACAGACTCTGAATTCCAGTCTCCTCCTCCTTATATTCCTTTCTCCTCCCGCCTCCACCTCCCTGGTGCTGGGATTAAAAGCGTGTGATCCCAGGTGCTGAGGTTACCTTTATGTGAGCTGTTTCTTTTAGGACTGGATCAATTTCTTGAGGTCAGTGTGGCCTTAAACTAACAGAGATCAGTATACCTCTTAATCCTGAGTCCTGGGATTAAAGGTGTGTGCCATCACTGCCTGGTTTAAGTGGACATCTAGCTTTTAAAAATAAAAATTTTTGAAACTTTTAAAATTACATCTATTTACTTATTAATTTAGTGTGTGTGTGTGTGTGTGAACAATTTGAGGGGGTCAGTTCTCTCCTATGTAGATTCTAGGATAAAACTCAGGTCGTTGTGCAAGGCAGCAAGTGTCCTTGCCTGCTCAGCTATCTTCCTATTTTTAGCTCAGGCTGGCTTGGAACCTGTGGCCCTCCTGCCTCATCCTTCAGGAATGCTACAATTACACGTGTGCTCCATCACGTGTGATTTGAAAATTTTCCTCGGTAATGACTATGACTTGCACACAGTGAAGGCTGCTTTCTGTCCTGCGAAGAGTTCATCCTAGAGTTCTCATACAGTAATTCACATTTCAGCTGGAGATCAGATAAAATACACAGACCAGGGCTGGGCGGTGGTGGTTCACGTTTTTAATCCCAACACTCAAGAGGCAGAGGCTGGTGGATTTCTGTGAGTTTAAGGCCAGCCTGGTCTACAGAGCAAGTTCCAGGACAGGCTCCAAAGCTACAGACAAACCCTGTCTCCTCCCCCCAAAAGCCCCCTCCCAAACCAGAACAGCTGGGAAGGATCTAAAGCAGAAAGACCCCGAAATAGGCACAATCAAACCTTTAAATACATTTCAGGAGTGAGACACTGTCAAGACGCTACCTCAAAAGGTTATTTTACATGGAAAGAAGGACCCTATTTGCTCACCAGTGGGGTGGGGGGAGGGTAAACACTGGTGGGGAGGAGTCTAGATGGAGAAAGAACTCATGGATTAAGTAACAGATTTTGGGGAAATACGAACACTCGATATTTAGTGATATTTAAGAAATACTGTTAATCTTGTTCAGATGTATAAGAGTATTATGACTTTAAAAAAAAAGGAACAGGTCTTCTATTTAGATCCAACAAGTGAAATACTAATGTACTTTCTTCTGTGCCCTCCACTCCAAGAAATGCTGTGATACAAGGCTGATGCCTTGTGTATTGTGTAGACAAAGCAAGATCTCATTCCATTTCCCTGTTCCAGAATACACTTAATCTACTGTCCTGCCTTGGAGGCTTTATCAGACACTAAGGTGAGAAGAACAGACAGCACAGTTACCAGATCACAGCCAAAGGCCAAGAAGTGAGTCAACTAACTGATTTACTGTTTTGAGGTACTAGGAACTGAACTTAGAACCTCCCAAGGTTAAGCATGCTCTCTGCTCAGTGCCATTTGAAATAATAACAAATGATTATGAGGGTTAGTTAATAATAATCAGATTTGGGAATGAATTGGAGAAGTATAAGATTACCCATAAACTGATAATCACTGAAGCCAGGGGATGAGTCTTCCATTTTATGTGTTTGGAATTTTCTGTTCATTTCTAGTCTCACTGGGAGACTAGAATCTGGGTCTAGAGCTGCAGTTTCTTAACTCAGTTCTGGCTCAAAGCCCATACTTGGCCCCAGGCATCACAGGCCCTGGGATGACCCCAGTCCAAGGCTCACTGGGCATAAAACTCTCACTTAAACTATGCTTTTGTCAGCTGCATCTCAAAAAAATAAAAAAGAATGTGTCACAGCACCAGGCAACTAGAAGGTGTGATTCCTTCAAATAATTTACATGACATTAACATTCAGCCAGCTGGAAAAGCTAATCTAATGGTCAGACCTGGCCTTTGGGCACTGAGGCTTCAAGGCTGGATGAATAGGCCCCTTCCCAAGAGCTTCTGAATAGACAATTGGGGTCTCTTTCTATAAGGGCTAGCTTTGAAAGAAAGTCATGAATTTATACGATAAGGGGAAAAAGTTCAGCCCTTACTCTGTCTTTTCAGGTTCACACTGTAGGCTGAAGGAAAGAGACACTAAAATCTGCCCATTAAGCACAACCTGGAAATTCTGCCTGTTTCCACACTGACTCAGAGTTCCTCCTTTACTAGGTCAAGTCAGACCTTCCATGCTAATGTAAGGGATGGCTTCTTTATCAGAATCCAAAAAGCTCTGGTCAGAGCCTACTCTTCAGAGCCTATTCATGGCGGTCTTCGAGCACACGTCCTCTCAAGATGTTCTGAAAACTGAGACGGTTAATAAAGTTAAGACAAATATTTTCCATTTTAAATGCTGACTGGCTTTAAAAACCAGCTTTTTTTAAAAAAGAGCAATTTACTTCTATCTTATATATGTCTGCCAACCATGTACGTGCAATGCCCGTGGAGGCCGTAAGAGCTTACTTAGGATCCCCTGGAACTGGAGTTAACAGATTTAACAGATGGCTGTAAGCAGAGTGTTCAGAACCAAACCTGGATTCTTAACTAAGAACAGCAAGTGTTCTTAATTGCTGAGACAACTCTCCAGCCGTCCCCAGCCCCTGCATAATCAGATTTTAAAATAAAGGCAAATGGTCATTAGTGTGCCTGAGTACCAATAATGAATGTAGAATAAAATATATGCATGGTAAAAATAGTATAATGAAAAGAACATAAATAGCATTCATATTATAGAGTTTGGTGGGGGAAATGTCTATAGTCATATATATATATATATGTCTACTTTTTGATAATTTATTCTGCAGATAGTAAAAACAAAGATTTGTAAAAGAGAATTTTTCAGTAGATAAAACTTTAGAAAAGTGAAATACAATAGTTAGGTGTATAGGTATGTGTCTCAGTGGTAAAGTGTTTGCTTAACATGCACTGATTCTATGTTCAATCCCCAGCACTGCAAAAAATAAATTAAAAAGTAAGTTTGGACAATGGCAAAAGAGGTCTAAAGTATAGGAAAATACTAAATAATAACTTTTGGATTTCCTTACACACACACACACACACACACACACACACACACACACTACAAACAGTTGCTAGTGTCAGACAACACTCAAAGCGAAGTGAGGCAGGAGAGAGTTCCAGAAAGTGGCTGGGGATGCTCCACCAGGAAGCGCTTGCTGTCTTCCCAGAGGACCTGAGTTCAGTTCCCAGCACTCAGACAGGCTGCTCACAAACATCTGTAACTCCAGCTCCAGGGGACCCAATGCCATCTGCCGGCCTTCTGAGGCACCTCAGCCCCGGCATGGCATATACATACACAGACAAACATACACATAAATAAAACAAATCTTCACAAGATTCCAAATAACTCCAATGTAAGGGCAATTGCACAAACCATCTTAGCATAACAGCATCTGGAGTGGGAAATTACCAAAACTGAGTTTATCTGATGGCTCCCCAAGAAGGACTCACCGTTCCCTTTGCAACACAGAACCAAGGAAAATACTACAATTTGTCTAACTGAGCTGATTTTTTCCTGCCTTCCTTCAGCCACACGTGAGAGACTCAAACATCCACAGTTAAGTGCTGAACTGGCTTATGGTCCTCTCAGAGAGAGCAATGAGGACTGCTCCTCTTGCTTGTAGTAGAGAGAGAGAGAGAGAGAGAGAGAGAGAGAGAGAGAGAGAGAGAGAGAGAGAGAGAGAGAGAGAGAGAGAGAGAGAGAGAGAAGACAAGTCCTTACCCTCCCATTGACACTCCTGCTGCCAGAAATGGGGCCAAAGGGTACAGGCTGTGGACATGGTGGATGACTGTCTCCAGGTCTTCAGTGTTCGCACAGCAGTAAGTCCGTGGTGTCTGGACAAGAGGGCATTATTGTTAAAATATGAGGGGAATGATTTGTACAGAGTAGAAATGTTTAGTTTAAAAATCAAGCAAGAAATCACAAATATAAAAAATAACCTTGTGCTAGGGTGCTGATGGTACACGCCTTTAACCCCAGCACTCAGGAAGCAGAGGGAGGCAGGCAGATCTCTGAGAGTTCGAGGCCAGCCTGGTCTACAGAGCTAGTTCCAGGACAGCCAAGGTTACACAGAGAAAGAAACCCTCTCAAAAACCAAACCACCACCAACAAAATAACCTTGGTTTGTACATATAAAAACATGTTCATATCTTCTTGTACGCATACCTGCCACTTAAAATCGACGTGATTTGGTAGCACTAAGAAAAAAGACTTTGAATGTGCAAGGAAAACTTGGTATGAATAGGACAAGTTTGGTACAAATACCTTCAATTAAAACAGATGCAAATATGCAAATGTGTGAGAGAACATGCAGAGAATTACATTTTTTATTTTTTATTTTTTTGGGAGACAGGGTTTCTTTGTGTCACTTTGGAGCCTATCCTGGAACTCGTAGAGATCTGCCTCCTCTGCTTCCCAAGTACTGGGGTTAAAGTTGTGTGCTGCTACCACCACCGGGGAAAGAACTACGTTTTATAGAAAAACAATGTATGTTCCCTAAAAAAGACAAAATAATTCTTTATTAAAAAACAAACAAGCGCCGGGCGTTGGTGGCGCACGCCTTTCATCCCAGCACTCGGGAGGCAGAGGCAGGCGGATCTCTGTGAGTTCGAGGCCAGCCTGGTCTACAGAGCGAGTTCCAGGACAGCCTCCAAAGCCACAGAGAAACCCTGTCTCGAAAAAACAAAAAAAAACAAAAAAAACCAAAAAAACAAAACAAAAAAAAACAAGCAAACAGAAAAGATTTTCTAATAATGTTATTGAAAGGTTAAATTTCAGGGCATGCTGGTACACATCTTTAATCCTAGCATGTGGAAGACATACTTAGTGGATCTCTGAGAGTTCCAGGCCAGTCTGGACTACACACCCAGTCCCTGTCTGGGGGGAGGGGGAACTAAACTGTGGCTAGTTTCTCACCAGGGAACTTTTCCCTCCACCCTGAGGGCTGTCTACCCAATGAGAAGTGATATTTCCAAATGATGCCTTTATCTAGACAATACAATATAAAATCTGACATTAAATATTTTCTATGATACTGTATCCATTTATTCCTAGCCATGCTTCACTCCAATACACTTAATATATTAAATTATGTTAGGTTTATTATGCTTCAATAACATTAAAACAAATGGTTTCCATGTGGAATTCATCAATAGGGGCACTATTTATGGCAGATAACAGATGCTTCATTTGGGACTTGGGAGGAGGGACCAGGCCTCTAAAAGATATACTGAGTGTGTGTTTGTGAGCTCAGACAAGTTGACATTCAACTATATGATGAATCAATAGTAATAAAACAGTAATGCTAGGTAACAAAACAATAACACAAACACTGGAACTAGTTACCCACACTACTTGACTTTAATATTCTGATACTCATACCACACTAGGAAGCTTATGTATCACCTCCCATTCAAATATTAATTAGCAGCCGGACGGTGGTGGTACACACCTTTAATCCCAGCACTCAGGAGGCAGAGACAGGTGGATCTCTGTGAGTTCGAGGCCGGGCTGGACCGACAGCCTCCAAAACAATACAGAGAAACCCTGTCTCGTAAAAACCAAAAAAAAAAAAACCAAAAAAACCCACCAAATATTAATTAGCAGCTGCAGAAAATTAAAGTTTTTATGACCCACCCAATTAAACTCATCCCTAAATCACTGCCTATTATATTGCTCACTGTCATCTTTTTGAGATACATGAGTATGAAATACTACAAAGACAAATGTCACCCTGACAGAATGTGTACTGGCTAAGAATTCCTGAATCATTTAATGTGTGCTCACTGAAGCCTGAGGAAGGGCCTATTTTATATCTATTTTGTAAATGAGAAAATTGAATTGAAAGACTAACAGCTGTGATAACATTTTAAATGCACTTGTGGAGTGAAAAATCCAATGAAAAATCAAAAAGTCAAAAAAGAACATATTTCAATATACCCCAGAGAAGGGGAATGAAGCAAGATCTCATGAGCAGATTGGGAGCATGGGGGGAGGGGAGAGGGAACCGGGAAAAAGAGGGGGAGGAGAAGAGGAGAGGAAGATATGGGGGAGCAGTAAGGTTGAGTCAGGGGAAGAATGGAGGAGACCAGGATGAGAGATACTATAACAGAGGGAGTCATTATAGGTTTGAGGAGAGAGATAATACTAGTGGGATTTCCAGAGATCTACAAGAATGACACCAACTGACAAACTAAGCAATAGTGGAGAGACTACTTTAATTTCCCCTCCCTAATAATGAGATTGACGACTACCTTATATGCCATCCTAGAACCTTCATCCAGTAACTGATGGAAGCAGAGACAGATACCCACAGCTAAACATTGAACTGAACTCCTGGAATCCAGTGACAGAGAGGGAGGAGTGATGAGCAAAGGGGTCGATGGTGCTGGTGAAACCCACTGAGACAGCAGACCTGACAACGGGGAGTTCTCAGACCCAAGACTGATGGCTGAGAGGCCAGCATGGGACTGATCCAGATCCCCTGAATGTGGTTGTCAGTGAGGAGGACTCGGCAATCTCTGGGACCTTGGGTAGTAGATCAGTGTTTACCATGGCATACGAATGAACTTTGGGAGTCCATTCCATATGGAGGGAACCTCTCCCAGCCTGGGCACATGGGGAGGGCCTAGGCCCTGCCCCAGATGAAGTGACAGACTCTGGAGATCCCCCATGGAGGTCGAGGCCCTCCATGGGGAATGGTGTGGGGATTGGGTGGAGGGTTTGGGAAAGGGCTGGTAGGAGGGGCAAGGGAGGAGAGGTGGGAGAGGGAGCTGGGATCGACATGTGAAGCATGCATGTTTCTAATTTAAATAAAAACATATATTGAGAAAAAAATCCCAGCACAAGAAAAAAAAAAAGAACATATTTATCACACTCATTTGTAGTGACTGCATCTTGTCATGATAATTTATGTGACAAAATTATTCCTACTTGGTATCTGTATTATATATGAGTTTGGTCTTACTGAATAGTTTTAAATTTTGAATTATTCATAGAGTCCACATGTACTCCTGTTTTACAGGCTGTAAGTGAAGTATGTATACACATGTGGGGACACAGGTACATATACATATACACAGTTAAAAGATAAGAAAAATGCCTTGTGGAAAATTCTAGGTTCAGGATCTTAGTGCCAAAAAGTACAACAGATGTCACTTAGTTTCTTTTGTTTTTTATTTTTTTGGTTTTTCGAGACAGGGTTTCTCTGTGGTTTTGGAGGCTCTTGTAGACCAGGCTGGTCTCGAATTCACAGAAATCCGCCTGCCTCTGCCTCCGAGTGCTAGGATTAAACGCCCGGCTACTTAAGTTTCTTTTGAGTAAGTTTCTATAGGGCACTCAGCAGCAGAAAGTAGATCAAATATTTACAGTGATTAAACAGGCTCTTGTAAAGCACTGAGGTTCCATGAGATACACATCTATTCCAGGAGGAGACTAATATTGTCTGTCTGCAGTAGAACCCATGACTCAGGATCCTTTTCACTCGGAGCTGGACTTAGCACACTTTTTTGTTTTCAAGACAGGGTTTCTCTGTGTAGCCCTGGCCATCCTAGAATTCACTCTGTAAACCAACCTGGCCTTAAACTCACAGAGATATGCCTGCCTCTGCCTCCTGGAATTAAAGTCGTGGGCCACCATCATCTATGAATTAGGCACCTAAGATTTTAGTTTGCAGACCTTACTCAAGGTCTAGTGATTTGTATGCAATTACTTAATGATTCTACTTAAAGCAACTCTGTGATTCTGGTGTGGGTCTGCCCACCAAGAGGAGCATTTCTCATTTCTAATTGTGTTCCTCAATCATCTCTATGGTTGCTCTGTTTTAAAATCATACCCATCCCCGTCCAGTTCCTACTGAATTGCCCACATTGTTCTGAAGAAAACTGATTTTGGTTTTGGAATATGAATTTATCAAGGAGTCAGAAAGGAAAAAGCATGTCCCACAAATATAACCAGCATTTCAACGTACTTTTCCATTTTTTGCTGATGAATGTATAAACATGATCAAGTGTCAAAATTTGCCTGAGAACGTATTACTTTAAAAAAAAATAACCAACCATGAAATAAAGAGCCTCCAAGAAACAGCCCCATCAACTTGGAGATCAGGGTGACCTACGTGCCCCCTTGTCCCGGTCCCAGATGGAACAGTCCATACTCCTGTTGCTGTCTGCACACGGTGCATCAGTGCACCAGTGATTTGGGGAATGCTTTCGAGCAGGTTGGCCAGCCAGATCTTTCTGGTGCAGTATCCTAAGAGGCAGACCCCAAGTTCTTCCATGACTGGGCTTTGCACTACATGAGTGATCCTGGGCTGGGAGTACTAATGCATTCAGAACAAGTGACACTCAATGAAGACTGTTGTTTTAAAAACAAAACAAATAATCACAGGAACCCAACTTCATCCCAGACAGAAAGAATCTGGGTCTCTGCAGGGGGAAATGAATGGAGTTCACGGTTAGGGTATAATGGATGGAGTTCACGGTTAGGGTGTGTCAGCCTGCCTAGAGGATCCTAGGTATGTAACCAGGGTCAAGGACTACCAGTCTAAGAAGACAGAAGCAGAGTGAGAGCTGGACCAAGAACAGAAAGGAGCCTGCAGAGACAAGAAGGAGGTCTATGCTGAGTGCTCAGGGAAGCACATGTCTAGGAGTCCCGGTAGTCTGAGGGCTGTACTAAGGGTCTCAGACCTTACAGGCTCTTGGGCTCATGGCAAGCACTCATCAGACAGGAGCTAAGCTATTGTTATTCCTAAAACCCCTTAATCACTAAGTCTTTCTTTCTTTTTTGAGAAGGAAAGGACTTATTTCAATTTAATCTTCCAGTTTACAGTCTATCA